TAGGAGAGGCTGATGTGCAAAGACATCCGAGAGCCACTGTGTCAAGGGAAATGTGAGGGCAAACAGGAGAAGCAGCACAGAGCTCTGCCTCTGGATAGCAGGAATCTTCTGCATGGATGGAGGAAGAAAGTGGCTTGGCAGCAGTGGAGCAGACAGATATCTTGGTGAATCACAGGTTGAACATGAGTCACAGCTGTCACATGGCTGTGAAAAAGGCACACGTCACAGGGGGCCGTGTAAGGAGCTGCGTGCTTCCCAAGGCAGCTGAAGCCTTCCCCTGCTCCCAGTGCTGGTGAATCCATCACTCATGCTGTTCCCATTTTGGATGCTGCATTTTGAGGAATACATGGGCCAATAGCTGAGTCCATGGAGAGTGGTGAAAGTGGTCAGAGGGCTGGAAACCATGAGGAATGAGAAACGTTTGAAAGGACCTGGGATTGTTTAGTCTAGGAAGGAGCAAGCTGGAGGGGGGGGGGCAATATGAAAAACTTTCAAAGACATAAAAGGCTGCTGCAAGAAGTGAGGGAGTGATCTGTTCTTAGTAGCTACCAGGAAGAAGATATCGAGTCATAGGCTGAGCAAGGAAATTTAGTCATTGGGGAAGAGTTACATAAGTGAAAGGCTGATGAAGTACTGAAACCTCAGTGCGTGTGGGATTGGTGTCAGGAGACCTTCAGAGCACCCATCTCTGGGTGAGTGGGAGAGGAACTCATCCTGCTTTGGCTGGTATGCCAAAGTGGGCAAAGTGGGATGCACTAGGAGACTTTTGTAGCCATGTTCCCATTTTCTGGAAGATTATTTTCTAAAGCTTGTGATGAAGTCCACCTCCATTAAACAGGCATACATTTCTCAGACACTGCTGAGCACATTACAAGACATCAGGGATTCCGTGTGGCAGTGACACTTTATCACTGCTATAGCAGCAATTTTCCAAGCCCCTGCTCAGCTGCAGGCTTGCACCAAGATGGGGGAAAGCGTTACTGTTAAGGACAGGGATACAGAGTGTGATCACCTATAGTGGGACAGCAAGGGAGCCCATGGCTTGCTGCTTGTCCCTGTGTATGACCATGCCAGATGAGGCACAGGCACAGTCCTTGTCCTGACAACCTTAGGTGGTGCAGGGGAATCCCCCCACCAAGGCAGAGCTCCCCAGCACTTTTTTTCTTTTTTTTTTTTTTTTTTTTTTTTTTTTTTTTTTTTTTTTTTTTTTTGCTGGTTCAGGGGCAGACTTTGGCTGTGCTTTATAATTGGGAAAATTCAGAGCATGTCTTTGTGTCCTAAATAGGCGATTGTCCTGATCCTCATCCCTGGGATCCATTATGTCTTAGCAAATTACTTTTTCTCTTTTAAATGCCTTAGTGATTAAAGATGCCACAGCAGATACCCTTAATGAGTACAAAAAGGGTAATAATTCCTCTTGTTGGCACTGAATGCAATTAATCAGGCTCCTTTACTTGCTTTTTAAACAGATGAGGCATTTAAGGCCAAGCAAGTTTTTAATTGGACTTTAATGTTTCTCATTTACTTCATTTTGGCACAAGCGTAGGAATTCCCACCCCCAGGTTTGCTGGATTTATTCAGGGTGATAAAAGGCTCAGTGTGGAATGAAGACTCAGCAGCAGACTCAAACATGTCCTTCAGCCTGTGCCTGGCCCCATTGCCTGGCCCAGGCTTGGTCCTCCTGCAGCAGCACAGGATTGTCTGGACAGGAGCAGAACCAGGCTGTCCAGCCCAAAGACAGTTTCCAGCATGGGACTGACATTGGATATGGATAATATTTCTGGAGTAGCCATCAACACAAGGGTGCAACATAGCCTGCCTTTTTTGTCATGTTCCCTTGCCTTGAAGGACTTGTGAGTATTGTTGTGATTATCTGGATGCCCTTGATGGAGGTCCATATCATAGCCCAGACTCTGTAGCTTCAAGGAAGGGGTAAATTATATGTTTTAAGCAATATTCCTGAGATCCACGGCCAAGAGGACATACAGAGCACCCCTACAGATGGATGTGTGCATCCAGATCTTATTAATTTATGCCAGGAATTGCCATGGAAGAAAAGATACATCGTAAGCAGCTCTCATCCAATTTGCAGCTCCTGCTCCCTGAAGCCAGCACCACCTCTTCTTCCACCTCCGGCCATGAACCATCTTGCCTTTGGTTCCTTTCCCCCCCATCTATCCTTCACTGTGATTTGGGGACAGCAGTGGCCTGTCAGGAGGTCCCAGTCTGTGTTTCATGCAGAGACACGTTCAGCAGCCCAGCTTGGCTGACTGGCCCCTGTCCCAACTCAGCTCTTCCCTGCCAGCAGCTGACCAGGTTCAGCCAAAAAGGATCAGCCTCAGCATGTGTGAGCCTGCTTGTCACTCTGCAGGGCAGAGATTCTCTAACGTCTAGGAAAGATCCCAGAACTTTCAGTTAGGTTTTTCCAGGTGTGTGCTGTGTCCTTTGCAGTCATACCTGTCTGTATTTCAAGTGACAGTGACTGTGGAATTCCTCCCGTGGAAAGGTCAGTGGATGCAGATGAGCTGTGGGTGTTCTTGGATAGCTGAGATGGCTCTTGTGTCATTGAGGTTTTTTGCCCCAGAAGAACATTCAGGAGAAATCTAGGGACAAGGGACAACACCCTTCATTTCTACATCCCTACTTTTCCCCCTTCAAAGGTAGGAAAATCTTAAGCCCAAGTGTGTCTGGAAAGTTAAGTGTATTCAGAGAAATGTGTTATTGAATACCTTGTTTTAATTTAAACATCTTCTGCCTGCCAGGCTTGGGGCAGAGGAGCTTTGCCAGCTGGATCAGCCATAGCACTTCCCTAGATCTGTTTCAGGGCATCTTTAGGGCCTCCCAGTGCAGCATAGGGAACTGCTGTGCACAACCACTGGGCTCTGATTTCCAGGCAGCTGCACAGCATGGAATGCCATGGGGGAGGCTTGCCCAATATTTTATTTGGTTCATCCTTATTCTTTGTCATATCTCCTTTTGTCTGATTCCCTCACATCTTGAACTCACATCTGATACTGGGTTTGGTGGTTGAGCAAGGCTTGTGTAGTCCTTGATAGCCAGCTGTGGGAACCAAGTCTCTCCAATTTTTTCTTCTGCTGAGAACATCTTCGCCCATTTTGCTCCCTTACACCACTTCCCTGCTACCTGCAGATAAGGATACCTGGAGCCATCATGCCTTGAAAAGTAAGGGAGAATTGGAGGCTGAGCAAGGATCAAGGTTTTATTGTGTGGTCATGGTGTGGAGGACTGTAGACATCTTGGTGAGATGTTCAGGGATAAAGGCTAATCAAAGAGCATCCAGCTTGTTCTGTCCCCACAGAGTGAACAACTGCTGGCTGTTGGGCTGTGCTCCAGCCATGGGCAGGGACTGAAGGAAATAAGAGGGCCAGATCCTAGGACATTTCTGCTCTTCTGGCTGATATTGAGGAGGGGCAGGCAGCCTTGTCCAGTTGCTATGGAGCCTGCCAAAATGTCCTTAATCCCAAATACATCTATGTCAGGAAGCTGCAACCCCAAGTGACTCTAGCCAGCCATTCTTTCATTGAGTCTTCTGGCTGAGGCTTAGAGAGTTGTCATTTTCTTTGATTTAATTCCATATAAACTGCAGAATTATTTTCCTTTAGAGGCTTGCAAATTAGAGAAGCATAAACCATGCTAATGATCCGATAAGGACAACTTTGGATACGTTCCCAAGAACGGCTACCCCTGGGTAGGAGTGTTCTCAGAGAGCACTGATGGAGAGCAATTTGCCATGCTCACCTGGCTGCCTTCCTTGGGCCCCCCTTCCCAAATTCCTTCATCTCTCAGGAACGAGAGTAATTTCCTCTCTGGCTTCTTGCAGAGGCAAAGGCCCTGCAGACCTGAAGTTATCTCTGGAATGTGTGTAAACACGAGTTCAATGGGATGCTGTTTGCCCCCCATTCCTTTGTGGGGGTTGAGAAGGGTTAATACAAGTTTGTTTTACGGGTTCCTATCCCTGAGAATTGTCTTCCTTAGAGGGCAGCTCGGCTGACCTGAACCCCTGTGTGTGCATTTCCCAGCATAAAGGGGAGATTCGGGGGCCCCACCACACGGGTGGGATTTCACTCCTCTAAGAACAAGGGATGAAAGACCAAAGGGGTCTTCCTGCCAAATAGGGACCCAGGAGATGGTATGGGATCACAGTGCACGTGCACTGGGACTCAGTGTGCAGCTAACAGGATTATTTAGGTGATGCTTGGACAGAGACAAATCAGGAGAAGGGTGGGGGTTACAGGCAGTTCTGTGCTCCCATCTTCAGAGAGCATTGAAATGTAAGCAGGGGGACAAAACGTTTTAAGTGACATATGGGCTGGGGCAAAATGCATTTAAATGAGAGGCATAAGTAACTCTATCTGTTTGCATAAAAATAATTCAGATAGAAGTTCATTAGTGGTGAAAAAGTACGTCACTAATGAGACTTGTGTGGAGACCAAAGTGTTCTTGGATTTAGAATAAGAAGCAGGAACCAGAATATAAAACTCGAGAAAATCAAGCATTAGTACCAAGTAAATGGTTAATTCCTAGATGTGTTGTCAGCACTAGTGACGCACTGAGGCTGGATGCCTTCCAGAAAACAACACTTTAACTGAAGACAAAGAAGCAGACTTAGCACAGAGGTGATCAGTGGAATGGCTTGGCCTGGTGTATACAAGGGGTCAAACTAGATGATTTAATGATCTCTTTTGGCCTGAAAGCTCTCTGTTCTCTTAAGAAGATAAATGAAAAAGCCCTTTCACAAAAACCAAGCACTTGAGATATGTGTGTAATGAACTCTGCTGCTTCCAGGGGAACGGCAGAGCAGGATCTGCAGGAAGCGTGACCTTGCCGCCTGCAGGCTGCCTGGAGTTGGTGGCCATCTGTTTGGTGGCAGTGGCTCACCACCATCGAGGCCACCGCTCTCACGTGTGACGTTTCTCAGCTCTGTTTTTAATTGGCATCTCCCTGCATTTAACCAACATTTGCTCCTTAATCTCCGTCAGGGTGAAGAGGCCAAGCGGCATGAGTAGCCTCCTGGGGAAGATCGGTGCCAAAAAGCAGAAGATGAGCACACTGGAGAAATCTAAACTGGACTGGGAGAACTTCAAGGAGGAGGAGGGGATTGTGGAGGAGCTGGCAATCCATAACAGAGGGAAAGATGGGTAAGAGGGACTTCACCTAATAGTAGTCCAGAATTTCCCATCACTTCCTTTACATGTGGGAAGCTGGCTGCAGAGTTCAAAAACCCATGGGATTTCTTAAGGATTTTTTCTAGGGATGCATTAATCCAGTAGCTGCTGTAGGCATCGCAGGGAGACAGGTAAGTCTGCAAACACCTATCACTCTCTGCTAACAACCTTGTGAGTTCTCTAAGTCCAGCCAATGTCTGGCTTTGTCATCTCTTCTGCTTGTGGCACAGAGCATGAACTGGTCTAACACAGCCCCTCCATGAGGAAACACAATTGCCTCTGACCTGTGTTCTTTTTTCAGTTTGGGAGGTTTTGTTCTGTTCTTCAAATGACACATTTCAGCTGCATCTCTCCTCCTTCTTCCCACATAAAGATTTGTGTAAACCCAGAACAGCTGGCAAGGTGCGTCAAAGATTATGGCAGCGCTGGGCGTTGGTTGTGTGCATCAAGCAATGTTCACTCCAGTGAAGTTAATGGAAGTATCATAAAAGTAAATGGCAATGCTGTAAATAAAACAGAAAGCTAATAACATGCACTGCAGGGAGTGATAATGAGATCAGAAGCAGCATTTCCACTACAAGTGCTTTGCTAAGCTCTGGGAAAACATAACCAGCTTAGTGGACAGCTCGTAAAATGTACATTTTATTATAAGCCGTTCTTTTACTGGAAGAACTCAAAGCTTCTGCATTCCAATAGATTGGTTTTTCTATTTTAAACAGATATTTTGTAACTGTCAAACTGTCAAATAGATATTTTCAATTTGGTCTTGCATCCTTCCACAAACACACCTTCTCCATCAAATCTCCCCTGATCTCTTTCTGGTCATGAAACAAATGCATGCCCTTGAAAAAGTAGAGCAATTCAGTAGGAAAGCTGGAGAGGAGCAGCTGATCCTCTGAGATCCCTGAAGTCCAAGGAGGTGCATGATTTACACCACATACAGGTGTGGCAGAGCAGTGTTTTGTGTCATCTCTTGTGTGCCCAAACCCAGTATGTCAGCTGTTCTTGGCCAGTGCAGTTTCCTTTCCCACCCCATCCAAGCAGGACAGCTTGCTCTCCATGCCTGGCAAACCTTTCCAGCAACGCTCACGTGATGGTCCTTGAAGGCTAAAGAAGGGATCAGCACATGGAAAAGATGAGCAAAGCAGAGCAGCAATTTTAAGAGCATCTTTAATCTTGGACGGCTTTGGGTTTTGCTGCCTGTCACATCCCAGGCTAGAAAATCTGCTGAGCTCTTGGCAAGTGGTTTTTGTCGTCAAATAAATGAAGAACATAATGCCAGGATAACTTTAGACACTCCTTATTAATATGTTTATATTAGTCAGGCATGCAGTGTGAGGGGACCAACCGAGTATCTGCTCATTAGGAATCACTTCCACCTTCAAGGTAAAGGGAGAAGGGAGGAGCACCGATGGAGGCACAGCCCACTGCATTTCTGCTTCCAGACCACCTCGGTGTGAAGGGTGCAGTACCCTCCCAGAGCAGCCATCTCGCCTGGGGGCAGGTCACAGACACAGCTGCTGCTGGCCTCAGGTCATTTCACAGGAGCCTGTTGTTCCTTCTACAGCTGCCTCTTCTCCTTTAATAATGTCAACCGTGCTCACCCTTCAGTGGGCAATCATTTACACATCTCTATAAAAATTGTAATGAGCTGTTGTTAACCCTTCAACCCAGGCAGGCGAGAGCGGGGCGCTGCCTTTAATCCCTGGTGCAGTTAGAAACCTCTGCTCCCCACGTGTCCTGCTGTGTGATTGTAAATGTCTGCCTGACAAGGAAAGCTGCAGCCCACTCCTGGAGATGTTTGCTCGATGCCACACATCCTGTGCACTTAGGGAGATGGTCTCAAGGAAGGCAGGGAGCTTTACTTTTTGCTCAGGAGAGAAGACAGGCTGAATTCCTTTATTGTGCTAACCCTGTGGAAGTTGCTGCAGCCCAGAGCTCCTCGTACCTCCCTGGCCCTTCTCCAGCAGCCGCACCAGAACACAGCAACCAGTGGAGCTGTGGGGCTGTGGCATCTTTCTGCTGCCAGTGCCAGTTATCAGCCAGCCACAGCCTGGGCCTAGAATTCCTGAGACAGAGGGGACATGTGCTCTGTCCTCCCTTGCCTCTGATTTTCCACCCCTTGTACCTCCAACCCCCATCCAGGCATTTGCATTTCCTTAGGAGCAGAATCTGGGCTTTTACAGCCTGGCTGTATCACGTCCTGGGGGCCTGTCCTTGACAGGAGGCGCTGGAGTGAGGAGCAGAGGCAGCTATCCCCTTTGCTGTTCATCTCTCTGATGTGCTTTATAAATGGAAATGTGTAGTGGCCTCTTAATTGGGCCTGCTTTGTAGGGCAGCCCCATGGGGGAGCAGCCGGCCCCGTCACCGTCACCGGGTGACTGATGGTGGAGAACAGGGGACAGGCAGCACCAAAGACCCTCCCCAGAGCAGCTTGCAGCTGCCCTTGTTAGCAGGGACAGCCTTGCTCCCAGTGGGTTTACTTTGCTCTGCTGTGGATCACAGCTGCCCTGTTTCCAGGCAGGTTGATAATTTACAGGAAGCTATTGATTCAGGTAGCAAAGGTTGTTTAGACAGCGCAGGAAGGGTGTTTGTGCCTCACTCGTGCACTTTGCACCGTGTTTGGCGGTGCCTTGGTGTTGGCTGCACGGAGCTGGCTGAGCTGCAGCTCCAGCACAGGCTTCAGAGCATGGAGGGGCTTGTGCTGACCCTGCAGCTTCCCTGCTCACGTCTGTGTGCACCTCCAGCCCCTGTGTGCCTGCAGCACGAGCCCCAGGTAGTGCCCGGGGGGTCTGCTCTGGTACCTACAGCACTTTTCTGTGGCCAGCCAAGGACAACGCCTTGGGATGACGTGGGTCACAGTTCCTCCTCCGTGCAGCGCTGCTGGCCATGGCTGTGAGACCGCATTCCTGGTTCATAATCCATATCAATCCCCAGGAGGCAGGCCCTGCCCACCGACAGGCACAGCAGTCAGGGAGGAAGAGGAGAAGAAAAGGCTGACCCTTTGCTGGGGTTGATAGATGGGTGTCACAGAGTGGCCAAAAGAGCTTCAGATTCAGTAGGCTGGGCTGTTGCTGCCCAGGCCATTGGGGTGTTCCCAGATGAACATCAGTAACTCCTGTCCTTGTCTTCCCAGCTGGGGTTGTGCTTGGTGTTTAGCAGTGGAGGGGGAGAAAAACCACACACCCAGTAGTTTGACACTGAGCACATACAGCGTGACCCCTCAGCTTCCTTCCTGTGGCCTCTCTGAGCCCAGCCCCAGGAGCTGGTCACCTCCCTGCTTACAGGGATGAAGGGAAGCGACACTCCCCTGCCTGCCTTTCCTGAACCAGTGTGGGGAGGGGGCCTCAGTGCACAGCCCTCCAATGGTGAAGGGCAGGGGCTACGAAAATGCCTCCTCCCAGGCAGCTCTTGGCCTGCATTGCGCCGTGCTGCTCCGTGCCCCTCGCAGCCGGCGGAGATGAGCTGACCCAGTTGTGTCAGCACGAGACGGGCTGGAGCTGCCATGGGAGTGGGGTGGCAGCAGGGGCTGTTCACTCGCTTGGGGGAATCATCGCTGAAATGAATCTGGATTAATTCATTTCCAGTGATGACTGGGTGGCCAGGAGTGTCAAGGTTGTCCCTTGCAGCAAGGGCAGAGGCTCCCTGCTGGGAACACATTCAGTGCAGGTTCAATAGTGGCATAAAGAATTGCAGAATCAGGGAATGGTTCAGGTTGGAAGGGACCTTTAAGGGCCAACTAATCCAACCCCCAGCAGTGAGCAGGAATTCTTTATCTAGATCAGATTGCTTAGAGCCCCATTCAGCCTGACCTTGCAGGGACCTCATCACCAAATGTTCATCTGTCTCAGAAAGAGCACTGGTAGGAGAGGCCTTTAACCTTCCCAGGAGGGCCTTGGGTACCTTCTTGCACACCACCCAGCAGCCTGGAAAACTGCAGAACCTGAGATGCTCATCTTCCTTTAGGCTTTGGTCTTGGCTTTCAAGCAGTGGTCTGCTCTGGCGGGCAGGAAAAGCAGTGACCAACAGAACAGCCAAATGCAGTGGTTCCCCACACAAGTTTAATGACCTTGTCACGGCAGTCCAGTGTTTGCCACCCTGGAACAAATGCAAAACAATTGTGATGATTCAATTACAGCTCCTGTTTTGAATTGCAATTTCACTCCTTCTGTAGGTTAATTAGTAGCACAGCCCTGGGCTGTCTATGGCAAGGGTTTACAGCGAACTACATTAAAATTCAGCTGCATGCCATTAATGAGGAGCAAGGTGCTTTTCCAGGCGTAGGCGTGCCTTCTTCCTCGCAGCACTCAGGTGAGGGGCAGCACTAAATACTCAGTGGTTAGAAGGTGGTCTGTGGCTGGGAAACCCCTGGCCTGCATCCCTGAGCTGCTGCAGGCTTGCTGGGTGATGCTTTTTGCATTCCTAATGCTCCCTGTGCCTGTTCCTGGCTTGTATCGTGGGCCTGTCAGCTTGTATTGAAGGTTGTGGTTGGGTTGAGATGCTTTGCTAGCTGGTGCAAAGGTCTGCTCTGATCCCCTTCAGGGTGTCTGTGGAGAACATTTCTCGTCAGCTGTAGAAGAGCTGGAACCAGAATCAACCAGTTCAGTTCTCCAGCCTATGTGACCACCAGACCTCTGGGAGTCCCCCAGCTGACAGCCAGCAGGCCACAGAGCAGTTTCGGTGTCCGTAGGAGATGTTCAGTGGAGCGAAAAGAAAGAGAGGGAGGGAGGGAGACAGACGGTGCTTTCCCTCCCTGCTCATCCCTTCTGGTGGGGTTTGCCCCCGTGGATCTTTCCACAAACTGATCGCTCCACTGAACATCTCCTACGAGGGAGGGTGACAGACGGTGCTTTCCCTCCCTGCTCATCCCTTCTGGTGGGGTTTGCCCCAGGCTGGGGGCCACACAGGCTGCCACAGGCACTGCTCACAGCCTCTGCCTCTGCCTCCCTGCAGGTACATCGAGAGGAAAGCATTCCTGGAGCGCGTGGATCACAGGCAGTTCGAAATCGAACGCGACATCAGACTGAGCAGGATGAAGCCCTGACGTGCTGGGGGTGGCCGTGGGGGATTTTGCTCCCTTCTGTGCCCCAGGGCTGGCTGGGGCTGCCAGCCACCACCACCAAGCACAGAAACTGTTCTCTACCCAAGACTCAGCCTGTATGTCTCAACGTACAGGGTTTTCCTTTTACTGTAATAGTTTGGGGAGGGTATTTGTCAGTGGACAGGAGGCGCTTTGAGGGTTAAATGGCCCAGCAGCTGATAGAAGACACTGGTGTAATTCTGGCAACAACTTTCCAAGGAGAAGAGGTGGTGGCACCCGTCCTTTACCAATCCCAGGTGCTTCTGGCAGCAGGAGGAGCTGCCAAGGCTGGGAGAGTACTGGCATGTTTGGTGGTGAGAGTGGAGCTGCAGGAAGGTTTCATGGCTGCTGTGCATATTCAAGCTGTGGGCTGGAGCCCTTCTGCCTGCTCTGCCAGCCCTGCAGCACTCCCTGCCCCTCCGCCCTCTGCTCCTGTCCAGACAAAGCCAAACTGTCTGTACTTGTTCGTGGGGTCTGATGATGCTGGGGGGGGTTAAGCAAGCTGGTGAAGAAATCCTTCCTTGTTCATGCTGTCAAGAAGATGGGAGCAGCTGCAGCAGGCAGGAAGGGCCAGGATCTGAGTGTTCACGTGAATAAAGTATTCCATCCCAACACTTTTGCATGCTGGCAGTGTGGTTTGTGTGGGAAGCAGAGGACAAAGAAATTAAGGATCACATACAGTAAGGAGTGTCTGACGGGAGTCAAAAACCTGTCTCAGAGGTGCCCAGTGTGTGCCCTGGTAGCAGCCTGGGGGTCAGAGCAGGTGCTTGAATCACTTTCCCTCCTCATTACTGGGGTTGGTGGTGCAATGAAACCTAGAACTGGGGGTGACAAGGTTAATGTAGTCCTGTAGCAGTGCTGCAGGAGTAAGGAAATTCATCCAAAGCATGGCCACGCAGGGACATTCAGCAAGTGCAGCTGCCTGGGAGGGCAGGCCAAGGCGCCTGGGTGTGGAACGAGCAGCTGGAGCTGGAGACCAGCAATGCACTGTCATCCCAGCCATCCCTGCTGGCCTGGCTCTGGTGGAGTTGGGCAGCTCCCGATGTCTGGTCTGTGGAGTAGAGGTATTTACCAGCGTTTCCCCACAGGATGCTCTGGGCTTGCTTGGTGGGGCAGCCCATGCTGGTGCTGTGCTGGGGGAAGGCAGCACAAGCCCAATCCTTCCTGGCCACAGGGTGAGCGATGCCGTCGCTGCCATGGCCCCTTGCCTGCAGCTCTGAGCACGGTCTGAGCCTTGGGCTCATGTGTCCACTGCTGAGTCAGCTCCTGCTCTGTGGCCATGCTGCAGGACAGACCAGAACAAAACACCACGTGCTCAGGGGAGCTGCAGCCTTTGGCACCCTGTTCTGTACAGAATCAGCTGTAATGGACCTGCTTAAACAAGCCTGAAATTGGACAGAAACAAAACAACAGAGTGATGACATGTTTTCATCTCCAAACACTTCCAAGCCAGTTGCTGCTCTGGCTTAGGTTGCAAAAACAACCAGAGTCCCTGTGCAGGGCACTGTTGGGATATCTCAGCTCAGAGCTTCTGAGTGGCAGTAAATGGCCCTGGCAGGACCTCAGTGTGGGCTGTGGGGCAAGGCAGGTGCTGCCGTGGGCATATCTCAGCTCAGAGCTCCTGAGTGGCAGTAAATGGCCCTGGCAGGACCTCAGTGTGGGCTGTGGGGCAAGGCAGGTGCTGCTGCAGTAGTTGGGCTGCTCTCCTGCTCGGAATGGTGCTGGACCATCTCCAGCACCTTCTCCCCTTGTGTGCTGTCCTGCCTTCCTTACAGGGTCCCTCCCAGCAGCGACCCCAAGGCAGCCCAGGCTTCTTTTGCTGCAGATCCGCGAAGCTTGTGAGATGCTGAGGTAGCCACAAGCATGGCTGGGAGGGCTGGGCCTGCTGTGAATGCTGAGCAGGCAGCCAGGGAAATGATTTGCCTATTGCTCTGCTGTTGCTGAGAGGAGAAGAGGAAATATTTGGGAACATCTCTGCCGTGTGTCCCCCATGACTCTGATGCTGGATAGTGGCAGGGAAGGGTCATGTCACCCCTGCACAGGCTGGGTCCCTGTGGCATCTGGCTTCTGGGGGCTGCCAACCAAAACCTTTGCTGCAGCGTGAGTATCCCTGCTGCTTTCTAGGGCAATTTCTGCTCCAGCAGCTGGGCAGCACCAAGTAGGTACCAAATGGAAAATAATTCTGTGCATTATGTCATGAGCAAGAGCAGAATGGAGATGCAGCAAGTACCCTTGGAGATCCCAATGGCCAGAGGCACCAAACCCAGTCTTGTTTTTAAAAAGCATTAAAGAGTTCCAGGCTGCATCTGGCTCTGGATGGCTTGGGGGTGGCTTTGGATTCACATGCACGCTAATGGTGTGTTAGAGGGATGTGGCCAGCACAACCTCCCCTGGTATGCTGGTGAACTGGGAAAATTGATGACCTGCAATTTATGGGATCCTGCCTGCCAGTCCCAGCTATGCTCTTCAGAAACCCTCCAGAGTTTTTCCTTCTTTTCAGCTGAGCAAATGTGGAAAAGCTTGAAATCTTGGAAGCAACCTGACCTGCTGGAAAAGGGCAATGTAATGGCAGCGGCCAAGAGCCTCGACTCCCCTCTCTGCTGGGCTCCCCAGCTCGTGGCAGCATGGTGTGCCCAGCTCAGCATGAGGATGCTGGGCTGCAGTGCCAGCTCCTGGCCCAGCAAGCTGGGGCAGGCCTGGCGGGATGGCCGGGAGGCAGCCTCCAGCCTGGGCTGATTCCTGGCTTCCTCCGCGCTCCCAAGCGTCCCGCGTTTTTGCTGGGTTGGATCATGTATTCCTCGCCTCTCTTTTCTGAAGACGAGGAGTGATTTACAGGTCTCCAGAAAACACAGCTTGGCTGCTTTGGAAGGAAAAAAGAAAACAACCAAAACCCCTCTCTGCTTGCTATTTCCATTGCCCAGTCGCCTTCCCACGAAGGGGGGTGGCCCCAGGACCCGCCAGCCCTTGATGTCCCCAACAGCCCTTGCTGTCCCCAGCAGCCCTGCACTTTCTGTGAGGAGCAATGTTCTCAGATGTGGGTCCATCTTTTGAGACATTCCCACCTTGAGCTATCTTCTCTGGGAAGCTCACGTGTTCTCCATGGGTTAGGACCCACCCTGGGCATTTGCTTGGGGTAATTTTGGCCCTATAAGGAGTCCCTCATGGCCACAGCATCACCTCACCCCGAGGAGCTCCCCCTTCCCTGGCCGCCTGAAGGGGCCCCTTGTGCAGCTGAGCCCCAAACAAGGCTCCAATTGTGTCCGTGTGTCCTGACGGTCGGGGCTTCTGCCGCGGCATCCGTGTGCTGGGGCCATGGTAAAACCAGCTGTGTCCAACCCACACCCACAGGCTCAGCTTTACTGATCTGCTGGCGTTTGTGGGGGCTGTTGTGGGGCCACGGGAATCATGACAGGGAGGTAACACTGTGCATTTAAAGCTCCTTCAGTGAAAGGGATGCAGGAATAAATGTTGGCTCTCGACATGGGAGGAGATTGAATGCTGGCTGGCTGGGGGTGCATCCCATAGCCCCAGGCCATCCCAAGGACCACAGTGGGATTCATGGGCAGAGCTGCCATCGGGCAAAGCGTGGCAGCTGGGAGAAGGAGGGACGAGAGCATGGAGCTGACCTTAGGAGCATCTCCCTGCAGCCAGGGCAGCAGTTCCCTGAGGGGCAGAGCTGGTACGTGGAAGGTGGTGCTGGCAGCATCATATCCTCTTTTCCAATTTGTTGTTTTCAGCCTCTTCCCACCTCTCCTTCAGAGCAATGTCCCACCCAGCAGCACGGTGCGATTCTGTCTGCAGTGTGTTCAAAAATAATGGGGTGTAATGGAGTGGCCTGTGGGTCTCCCCATTTGAGGGTCTCCACCCTGGGGCATCCTTGTGCTGGGGGTGGGTGCTGGCACTGACATTTGAACTCAGCTGATGGGATGGCACAGCCAGCCCTTGCTGCTGTCAGCCCTTCCCGCTCCCAGCAGTGAGCCCCAGCTGGGGGCGAGGATCAGCGCCAGCCCTCACCAGGGATGAATGGGGAGACAAACAGAGCTGCTACTGTTGGGGCAGCCCAAGGCCTGCAGTCTGCCTCGGCTTTGCTGGAGATGAGGGGGTGCCCTGCAATCCTGTTCTTTGGAAAGGCAAGCAGCCTCCCCCAGCATCTTCTCTCCACAGCTAAGAACCAAGCCAGTGCCACAGAGAAGCACAGGGATAAATCCTGGTTGTGATCCTGTTGGGTCCCGTGATATTACAAGCCAAGAGAAATGTCCTCATTATTTCCAGAATATTGAAGTCTAATAAATCCTGTCCTGCCTTATAGGATTTATTTCTTCATTCATTGCTAGGAGACTCAGTCCTGTGTAATCCTATTGCTGCTCCAGGAGGTGGGGAGTGGCTTTCCAAAGCACAGACCTGGCAGGGCTGTGAGCAGGAGCAGGAAGCCCCAGCTGAAACTGCTGGTCCCAGCAAACATCCCAGTGCCAGCCCATTTCCTGGTATGTCCCACTGTCCCAGAGCTGTGCCCTGTGTTTGATTCACCAAAATGGATCTCATCCAATGTTGGGATGATTGGCTGCATGGCTCAGCACAGCCTGCTCCCCCTGTCCATTGTACATCTGCAGTGCTCCCCCAAATCTCACTTTGGAGTCCTCCTATACCTTCTCATACCATATCCAGCAGGAAAAGCTGCAAAAAGCCAGGAATAGCTGGGCCCAGCACAGCCAGTCCCCTGTCCTTGCAGAGCCAGCCATGCCTGGCTCATCACACACCAGGGACTCTCCGGAAGACAATGATGGACACATGAATATGGCTGGAAAATTTGCCACTGAAATGTTTTCCATAGCAACTGTTGCTGGGGCAACCTGCATCCCAAGGAGCATCCATCCTGAAACACCCAGCCCCGTGTCCAGTGGAGCTGGCAGGGAATCACGGCGTGGGACTGCTGGGACCCCCACCAGCAGCAGCACAGGGATGCTCTGGCAGCCAGTCCAGCTCTGAGCATCCCCAGTGCTGCAGGGTCCCTGGAAGGCTCCACTTTTCATCTTCTTCTTGGCATTTCATTTTCTCAAAGGTAGGAGAAGTCTTAGGAAGGCCTGCTGGTGCCTGTTGCCCCATGGGTGCCTGGCTGTGGAAGCAGGCATGTGCAGGAGCTGTTGCCAGCTTGGGGTGCTCAGCAGATGCAAGCAGTGATTTTTGGCTCTGATGGACCAAAAATGGGATTGAGTTTGACAGTGTGCACTTTGATCTGAGCATCAACACAGGGAGAGGGAAAAGTGATATTCCCACTGCTTTTAAGTCCAAAAGCAGGGGGCTTATGGCCCCTCAGCACCTGCCTGAAGTCATATGGTGTCAGCTTCACCCTGGGGACACCTCAGGGATCCCAGGAAACCCTCACTGCTGGCCTGGTGGGCCCACAGACTGAGGGTCTCCAAAGGAAACACAGCCTGGCTTCACGGGATCGGCTGCAGAGCGGCAGAAGAGAGGCTGGGGAGCCTGGAGCCCATCCCAAGGATGCCCAGGGTGCTCAGTGCCTGCGCTGTCACCGCTGTCACCAACAAGAGGAAACCGCAGCCCTCAGGCTGGGCCCGCCGGGGCAGCCGCGGTTTGCGGGCGCGACCGCAGCCCC